AGAATGGTCTGATATCTTGATGATATAGATTTTTGTATGTTGGTAAGATCGTGAGAATGGTTTGATATCTCAATGATATAGATTTTGTTAGTAGGTAAGATCGTGAGAATTGTCTGATATCTTGATGATATAGATTATTGTTTGTAGGTAAGATCGTGAGAATGGTCTGATATCTTGATGATATAGATTTTTGTATGTTGGTAAGATCGTGAGAATGGTTTGATATCTCAATGATATAGATTTTGTTAGTAGGTAAGATCGTGAGAATGGTCTGATATCTTGATGATATAGATTTTGTTAGTAGGTAAGATCGTGAGAATTGTCTGATATCTTGATGACATAGATTTTTGTTTGTAGGTAAGATCGTGAGAATGGTCTGATATCTTGATGATAAAGATTTTGTTAGTAGGTAAGATCGTGAGAATGGTCTGATATCTTGATGATATAGATTTTTGTTTGTAGGTAAGATCGTGAGAATGGTCTGATATCTTGATGATATAGATTTTGTTAGTAGGTAAGATCGTGAGAATGGTCTGATATCTTGATGATATAGATTTTTGTTAGTAGGTAAGATCGTGAGAATTGTCTGATATCTTGATGATATAGATTATTGTTTGTAGGTAAGATCGTGAGAATGGTCTGATATCTTGATGATATAGATTTTTGTATGTTGGTAAGATCGTGAGAATGGTTTGATATCTCAATGATATAGATTTTATTTGTAGGTAAGATCGTGAGAATGGTCTGATATCTTGATGATATAGATTTTGTTTGTAGGTAAGATCGTGAGAATGGTCTGATATCTTGATGATATAGATTTTGTTAGTAGGTAAGATCGTGAGAATGTTCTGATATCTTGATGATATAGATTTTGTTTGTAGGTAAGATCGTGAGAATAGTCTGATATCTTGATGATAAAGATTTTGTTTGTAGGTAAGATCGTGAGAATGGTCTGATATCTTGATGATATAGATTTTGTTTGTAGGTAAGATCGTGAGAATGGTCTAATATCTTAATATAGATTTTTGTTCGTAGGTAAGAACGTGAGAATTGTCTGGAATCTTAATGACATATCGTTTTGTTAGTAGGTAAGATCGTGAGAATGGTCTGAAATCTTGATGATATAGATTTTGTTTGTAGGTAAGATCGTGAGAATGGTCTGATATCTTAATGATATATCGTTTTTTTGTAGATAAGATCGTGAGAATGGTCTGATAGCTTGATGATATAGATTTTATTTGTAGGTAAGATCGTGAGAATAGTCTGATATCTTGATGATATAGACTTTATTTGTTGGTAATTTCGTGTGAATGGTCTGATATCATCATGATATAGATTTTGTATGTAGGTAAGATCGTGAGAATGGTCTGATATCTTAATGATATATCGTTTTGTTAGTAGGTAAGATCGTGAGAATGGTCTGATATCTTGATGATATAGATTTTTGTTTGTAGGTAAGATCGTGAGAATGGTCTGATATCTTGATGATATAGATTTTATTTGTAGGTAAGATCGTGAGAATGGTCTGATATCTTGATGATATAGATTTTATTTGTAGGTTAGATCGTGAGAATGGTCTGATATCTTGATGATAAAGATTTTTGTTCGTAGGTAAGATCGTGAGAATGGTCTGATATCTTGATGATATAGATTTTGTTAGTAGGTAAGATCGTGAGAATGTTCTGATATCTTGATGATATAGATTTTGTTAGTAGGTAAGATCGTGAGAATGTTCTGATATCTTGATGATATAGATTTTGTTTGTAAGTAAAATCGTGAGAAAGGTCTGATATCTTAATGATATATCGTTTTGTTAGTAGGTAAGATAGTGAGAATGGTCTGATATCTTGATGATATAGATTTTGTTTGTAGGTAAGATCGGGAGAATGGTATGAAATCTTGATGATATAGATTTTGTTTGTAAGTAAGATCGTGAGAAAGGTCTGATATCTTAATGATATATCGTTTTTTTAGTAGGTAAGATCGTGAGAATGGTCTGATATCTTGATGATAAAGATTTTGTTTGTAGGTAAGATCGTGAGAATGGTCTGATATCTTGATGATATAGATTTTGTTTGTAGGTAAGATCGTGAGAATGGTCTGATATCTTAATATAGATTTTTGTTCGTAGGTAAGAACGTGAGAATTGTCTGGAATCTTAATGACATATCGTTTTGTGAGTAAGTAAGATCGTGAGAATGGTCTGAAATCTTAATGATATAGATTTTGTTTGTAGGTAAGATCGTGAGAATGGTCTGATATCTTAATGACATATCGTTTTGTTTGTAGGTAAGATCGCGAGAATGGTCTGATATCTTGATGATATAGATTTTGTTTGTAGGTAAGATCGTGAGAATGGTCTGAAATCTTGATGATATAGTTTTTGTTTGTAGGTAAGATCGTGAGAATGGTCTGATATCTTAATGACATATCGTTTTGTTTGTAGGTAAGATCGCGAGAATGGTCTGATATCTTGATGATATAGATTTTGTTTGTAGGTAAGATCGTGAGAATGGTCTGAAATCTTGATGATATAGTTTTTGTTTGTAGGTAAGATCGTGAGAATGGTCTGAAATCTTAATGATATAGATTTTGTTAGTAGGTAATATCGTGGGAATGGTCTGAAATCTTAATGATATAGATTTTGTTAGTAGGTAAGATCGTGGGAATGGTCTGAAATCTTGATGATATAGATTTTGTTAGTAGGTAAGATCGTGAGAATGGTCTGAAATCTTGATGATATAGATTTTGTTTGTAGGTTAGATCGTGAGAATGGTCTGAAATCTTGATGATATAAATTTTGTTTGTAGGTTAGATCGTGAGAATGGTCTGAAATCTTGATGATATAAATTTTGTTTGTAGGTAAGATCGTGAGAATTGTCTGAAATCTTAATGACATATCGTTTTGTTAGTAGGTAAGATCGTGAGAATGGTCTGATATCTTGATGATATAGATTTTGTTTGTAGGTAAGATCGTGAGAATGGTCTGAAATCTTGATGATATAGATTTTATTTGTAGATAAGATCGTGAGAATGGTCTGATATCTTGATGATATAGATTTTGTTTGTAGGTAATATCGTGAGAATTGTCTGAAATCTTAATGAGATATCGTTTTGTTAGTAAGTAAGATCGTGAGAAGTGTCTGAAATCTTAATGATATAGATTTTGTTTGTAGGTAAGATCGTGAGAATGGTCTGACATCTTAATGACATATCGTTTTGTCTGTAGGTAAGATCGCGAGAATGGTCTGATATCTTGATGATATACATTTTGTTTGTAGGTAAGATCATGAGAATGGTCTGATATCTTGATGATATAGATTTTGTTCGTAAGTGAGATCGTGAGAATGGTCTGATATCTCAATGATATAGATTTTGTTTGTAGGTAAGATCGCGAGAATGGTCTGATATCTTGATGATATACATTTTGTTTGTAGGTAAGATCGTGAGAATGGTCTGAAATCTTGATGATATAGATTTTGTTAGTAGGTAAGATCGTGAGAATGGTCTGAAATCTTAATGATATAGATTTTGTTTGTAGGTAAGATCGTGGGAATGGTCTGAAATCTTGATGATATAGATTTTGTTTGTAGGTAAGATCGTGAGAATGGTCTGATATCTTGATGATATAGATTTTGTTTGTTGGTAATTTCGTGAGAATGGTCTGATATCTTAATGACATATCGTTTTGTTTGTAGGTAAGATCGTGAGAATGGTCTGATATCTTGATGATATAGATTTTGTTTGTTGGTAATTTCGTGAGAATGGTCTGATATCTTAATGACATATCGTTTTGTTTGTAGGTAATTTCGTGAGAATGGTCTGATATCTTAATGACATATCGTTTTGTTTGTAGGTAAGATCGCGAGAATGGTCTGATATCTTAATGACATATCGTTTTGTTTGTAGGTAAGATCTCCCAATAGACATTTAGCCATAGGAACTAACAATGCCCTTCTTCATGTAAAAGGTTGTTGTCAAGTTCATCGCTCTCGTCGTTAGATATACTGATTATGTCTTACTGCATAAATCGTATATACTCAGAAGAATATAGAAATCAAGAATACACTGAACTTCTTCTTAGTAGCTTAATTTGACCTTTACCCTCGGAGCAATAAGGACAGCTTTGATCTAAGCTGACTAATATGCTTGGTAATTTTGATTTTGTGAATTTTCCCTTTCCATATACAATATAGTAACAACCCTGCTTCCCAGGCCGATGGTGTTTACATGTCGCAACTGATTAGATTTAGACGGCGTACTTCCAGGATCCCGATTTCGGTGACAGCGACAGCTGTCAAATAAATGTTCCTTTACAACTAGCTTTGGCAGTAGTTTTTTTTAAAGACTGTCCTTGCCACTCCCAGATAAATAGTGATGGGTGGTGTCGAGCGTTCCTATCACTGACACGTTTTTCCTGAGCCATAATCCCAGCATGCTTGTTTTGGCCACCGGTGTCATCCATCGTATTGCCTGTCAGTGGTGAAACATTACCGATGTTTCTGTAAGTTCATAAGGAGAGTGTAACGGGGAACCGCACAAGATTGCTGACCTATAGAGGTAGAAAGAAAGTTTCAGAAACAAACATAGATTGTACTCTCGTAAAAATAAATGTGTTTATTTTTTTTATCTTTGACATCCATGAAGTGTACTCACATATGATACCAGATCTTGGGAGGAGAAGGCCTCGAAAGTCCGATTATAAAATATGTTTCTTTCCGTTTATACAATATGTATTACACGGAATTGAAACAAATTAATTGTTTTATCATGGACTCGTTTTCAACTTGTATTCTCAATAAAGATGAATGAGTCAGGAAAAATGATAAAGCTTCGTTAATATCAAAGAGTAAAAAAAATACTTCCGTATGTTATAAAAACGTGTGAAAAAACCATTAATAAACACATTAATGAGACAAAATTTCGCATGGACGAGGGGAGGGAACTCTATAACAATTGCTGTATATCACAGTTTGCGTCAGAGAGCGGAAGTGCGCTTTGTAAACACACTGAAAGGCATAGGTACACGTGGGTAAATTTTGTAGGCGTGTATTTTTACGACTATCCCATTTAGAAATGGTCAGGTTCAAAAACAGGTAAATTTCAGATAGAAATATATCGGTATGCCACTTTTATAAAGTTATGTTATCTGGGTTTCCAAAATATTTATGTTTGTAAAATACAAATGTTACGTAACCAGTTTCGACGGATTGTTAGACGGTTTAACCTGCACATATTTATTTGATAATTAAACAATATTACATATGTATACGTACGTTACATTTATAATGGCAAAACAATCTAAAAGTTTTTTTTATGAATTTTCCCCAATGATGATGATGATGATGATGGTGATGAAATATGACGATGTTGGCGGTGCACATGTGTCAGTCCACTATAACTGAACTGTTGATGTAGTAACTTCAGTATCAACACCACCACCACCAACAACAACATTATCATCAGATGATGGTCAATTCAATGCGTCCGTCGTCCATTCTTTCGTCCTTCTTTCTGGAGAAGCACTGGATGGATCAGTCTTAGTAAATTTCATATGTAGATTCTCCTCGGGCCAAGCTACATGTAGTGGTACTTGGTCCATTTTGGGACTGATTGCGCTCGAGAAAACAACATGGTTGACAGTCATAGTTTGTTAACGTTATTTCTGGAGAAGGTTGTAATAAATCATTCTCAAGCTTAATATATAACGTCCCCTTAGCAATTTTGACCAAATCTTACCATAGCATTTTATATAAGTTTAAGATTCAAGGTTGATGGTGAAAGTCTCTGCCACTTTTGTCTATTTTAATTGTCATTGCTTGTAAAGCTCTTAGATATCTTGAACATGTCAGATTTCAAGGTTACAGTCTCTGAACTCGGTGGGTGCATGTGCAAAATAAAAAAAATAACTTATAGTGATATTCTTAAAAGATAGGTGAGGGTATAAAATAAACATGTGATGTAATAGGGGATTGGATGGGTTGGCAGAAGGGTGGGGTTGGTAAGGTATTCTATGCCTCACAACATGTACATATAACTCTGCTAAATGAATGAAAAGTAGTGAAGTGCAACACAATCACAATTACATACTGATTATGTTGAACTTTGTCTCCTAGGCAACTCAGGGGCAACAGGTGTGCATGCATACACAGGTCAGCTTATGCTTTTGGGACAGATGGAAAGAGGATGTATTTGGAGTGATGCTGTGATAAACTGAGGGAGGGACAGGTGGGGGAGGGCTGTGATGGCAGCTTATTGTGAAGACTATCGGTCAGTTTGGAATGATTAAGACTGCATCAGTCAGAGAGAATAAGCTATTCCAGTTTGCTATGGTCCTTAACATGTATTTGTAAGAGAACTACCTTTTCATGTCAATTATGTTGAAATGAAGAAATCCAGTGAATACAGTTGTGGACATCATAGTAATTAAGTTTGTATAAAAGGTGTTGATTGGGAACCTTTGAAAAATCAAGTAGTTTCATGTCAACCTGTTTGTCAACTCATTATATAACTGGTGATATTGAGCGGTTATACATGGAACTCCTTCTTATAAGATGGCTTGCCATATCAAACCTTCCCACAGTTTATGTAAGCATGAAATTCACACAAAAAGATCACAGATCTGTCTAGAATGGAATAAGATCTCTCTAGAATGGAATAAGATCTGTCTAGAATGGAATAGACCTTGATGCTTTTAGTTTAGCACATTCCCTTTATCTTTCCTTTGACACATAGATAAATAAATAAATAATCTTTATTTATTTTACAACAATTGCGAAGCAAGTTTTTCCAACTTACATTAATCAGTCTTGTTGGCTCGGATGGAAGGGCGCGATGGGTCTTAGTGTATTATAGATCATATCGTAGATTATTTATACATCACTTGTATCATACTTGGTTATTTCAGATATTTAGTTTGTGAAGTTGTGTATACAGGATCAAGGAAGAAAACCTCAACATTTACAGAGTTAGAATTGTATAAATGTATCCGTGATTCTGTGATCAAGTCATATGGAGATTATGGCTATGGTGTGCTCAAGTCCTCACTGTCATGTAAGTACACCTAATGTCTGAGGTATCTAACTCAAAAATAGGATCAAACATCTTACTAAAGTAACAAATATGAGGGTTAATTCAAATCACTTGTTCCAAGTGTAGCCGGGTTCCAATGCTACAGTGTTTTATAAAATAACGCTGGATTCATTCTTTTCATACATTTATTTAGACGCACCAAAAGACCCTACAATAACACAAATAAAACATATAAGTTCATGTATAAGACATATTACAAACTACGCACTGTATGTTATACACTGGACATGGAGTCAACTTTACTTTTTACACATATTTATATTTCCCGTAACGGTTACACTAAACTTTACGAATTCATCAAAATATATATATCCAATGCCAACACATGATAAACTATAGGATTTACCATTTGTATTACACAGATGTAGTTAATAGTTAAATAATATATATACATAATATACCTACCCTATCAATCTGACAGGGGTCTCAAGAGATAACATCCTTTTTTACAATAAAATGATCTATGGTTCTGTTGAAAGAAAAACAACAAAACATAATTAACTATATTTGTAATAAATTTCTTTAAGATAATTCTGCAAAAATTATTATTCCCATTACAAAAGGAATAATGAAAAAACCACAAAGAGATATTTCAATTTCTTCAAATATTTCAATAAATACGAAAATACTAATTCTGTAAAAGTTAACTAACATTATCATTTAAAATAATTAAATGATATTTCAAATACTTACTATTTTAAAATGTATATTTGCCACCACAGTCGTCCGTACGTAGCTACATATAATTGCGACTGTCCATGTCTCTGTCCAGCGCGTGAATAACGATACAGAACATACAGGTGCACGAACAAGCATGTAATCACGTGACAAGACATTTACATAACAAAACACAGGTGAGAAATTCTTAGAACATACACTGACAAAACAAACCGGTTGGACAAGTACATTTATAAAAATATATATAAATAGATAAAAGTAAAATTGACACTGCCACACAAGTAACATAAATAACTTCACAATCCTCATATCTTTTTTGATATTGTAAAATAAAATCTACATATTAAATCATTTCCTGGTTTCCAGTGGGACAACCTACTTGAGAATTTTCATGGAGATCTGATTTTCTGCCCTTTCTTCCATGATGTGGTTATATATACAGTCTCAGATATAACAACAGAGATCCAACGTCCTGATACATCTGTATTGATGTATAGATGGCAATTCTTCTGTAGAATTGATTCTTTGGGAAATACAGAGTCCAGTCCAGAAATGAACAATGTAGACAAGGTAGAGAACTGGACAACATTCTCAGAAAGCTTTGGCAGGCTTTAATGATGTTGACATGTTTCAGATACTGGGTATGTCTTCTAAAGACGACATGAAATATATCGACTCCATTGATTCCTGGCCAGATCTTCTGAGAATGTTGTCCAGTTCTCTACTTCATCCATATTGTCTCAGATATTGTATACAGATTAGTAAGACAACATGTGTATATATTAGACTCGAGTTAAATGTTTATTTGATGTAGATCTTACATGTAGAGAAATGCTTATCATATGTGAGCATTGAACACTTATTTTTCTTCAAGATTGTGATTGACATTTAATTTTAAACTCCATTTACAAAAAGATCAATCAGTTATTGTTTTTGTTTACAATTCTTGTGTCGCTCAGTGAAGCACTGGAACAAAGCTTCAAACATTGTCCTGATCCGGGCCAAGAGAGGTTCTCATGCTATGGTACAGTCAGCCATTACATTTGTGAGAAAAATCTGCTCCACCGATGCATGCTTCAACACACTTCACATCGGAGGTAAATGTAATGATATAAACATGCCTAGAAATGGTTAGATATCTTCTTGTGAATTGAATATAATACAAAAAGATTTTGTTCCATATTTAACATGTTCAAGTGATCAGTTTTAGTGCAATCTTTTAAGAAAGGAAAGTCTTTAAGTGAATACAAATAAGATTTAAGTCTAAGAGGGCAAATCCTGGCAGACCGAGACCAAATGAAACTTGTTATTGTACCAGTATGATAATAATCCTAATATTATTGGGAAAATTGAATTCGGTGTATAACAGTTCCAGAATTAAAAACTGAAGGTATAGGATTTTGGTGACACTTTCCTAATGATTAATCAACTTGTCCTTATTCATCCTAGGAACCATTAGATCCTGTTACAAGTTCCTGGTGCATCATCATCAACGACAGTTACCCAGCTTACTGCAGGAGTGTCAGACAGAAAGTAGGATTGCTTTAAAAACATTTTTCTAATCAAAAACTTTATTGTGATTGAGTGATGTGTTTGACTTTATTGTGATTGAGAGTTGTGTTTATGCCTTTATTGTGATTGAGAGTCAGGTTTATGCCTTTATTGTGATTGAGTGATGTGTTTATGCCTTTATTGTGATTGAGAGTCGGGTTTATGCCTTTATTGTGATTGAGAGTCAGGTTTATGCCTTTATTGTGATTGAGTGATCTGTTTATGCCTTTTTTGTGATTGAGAGTCAGGTTTATGCCTTTATTGTGATTGAGAGTCAGGTTTATGCCTTTATTGTGCCTTTATTGTGATTGAGAGTCGGGTTTATGCCTTTATTGTGATTGAGAGTCAGGTTTATGCCTTTATTGTGATTGAGAGTCAGGTTTATGCCTTTATTGTGATTGAGTGATCTGTTTATGCCTTTTTTGTGATTGAGAGTCAGGTTTATGCCTTTATTGTGATTGAGTGATGTGTTTATGCCTTTATTGTGATTGAGTGATGTGTTTATGCCTTTATTGTGATTGAGAGTCAGGTTTATGCCTTTATTGTGATTGAGTGATGTGTTTATGCCTTTATTGTGATTGAGTGATGTGTTTATGCCTTTATTGTGATTGAGTGATGTGTTTATGCCTTTATTGTGATTGAGTGATGTGTTTATGCCTTTATTGTGATTGAGAGTCGGGTTTATGCCTTTATTGTGATTGAGTGATGTGTTTATGCCGTTATTGTGATTGAGTGATGTGTTTATGCCTTTATTGTGATTGAGTGATGTGTTTATGCCTTTATTGTGATTGAGTGATGTGTTTATGCCTTTATTGTGATTGAGTGATGTGTTTATGCCTTTATTGTGATTGAGTGATGTGTTTATGCCTTTATTGTGATTGAGTGATGTGTTTATGCCGTTATTGTGATTGAGTGATGTGTTTATGCCTTTATTGTGATTGAGTGATGTGTTTATGCCTTTATTGTGATTGAGTGATGTGTTTATGCCTTTATTGTGATTGAGTGATGTGTTTATGCCTTTATTGTGATTGAGAGTCGGCTTTATGCCTTTATTGTGATTGAGTGATGTGTTTATGCCTTTATTGTGATTGAGTGATGTGTTTATGCCTTTATTGTGATTGAGTACCTTTATTGTGATTGAGTGATGTGTTTATGCCTTTATTTATTGTGATTGAGTGAGTGATGTGTTTATGCCTTTATTGTGATTGAGTGAGTGCCTTTATTGTGATTGAGAGTTGGTTTATTGGTTTATGCCTTTATTGTGATTGAGTGATGTGTTTATGCCTTTATTGTGATTGAGTGATGTGTTTATGCCTTTATTGTGATTGAGTGATGTGTTTATGCCTTTATTGTGATTGAGAGTCGGGTTTATGCCTTTATTGTGATTGAGTGATGTGTTTATGCCTTTATTGTGATTGAGAGTGGTGTTTATGCCTTTATTGTGATTGAGAGTCAGGTTTATGCCTTTATTGTGATTGAGTGATGTGTTTATGCCTTTATTGTGATTGAGAGTCAGGTTTATGCCTTTATTGTGATTGAGTGTCAGGTTTATGCCTTTATTGTGATTGAGTGATGTGTTTATGCCTTTATTGTGATTGAGAGTCAGGTTTATGCCTTTATTGTGATTGAGTGATGTGTTTATGCCTTTATTGTGATTGAGTGATGTGTTTATGCCTTTATTGTGATTGAGTGATGTGTTTATGCCTTTATTGTGATTGAGAGTCAGGTTTATGCCTTTATTGTGATTGAGTGATGTGTTTATGCCTTTATTGTGATTGAGTGATGTGTTTATGCCTTTATTGTGATTGAGAGTCAGGTTTTGCCTTTATTGTGATTGAGTGATGTGTTTATGCCTTTATTGTGATTGAGTGATGTGTTTATGCCTTTATTGTGATTGAGTGATGTGTTTATGCCTTTATTGTGATTGAGTGATGTGTTTATGCCTTTATTGTGATTGAGAGTCGGGTTTATGCCTTTATTGTGATTGAGTGATGTGTTTATGCCTTTATTGTGATTGAGTGATGTGTTTATGCCTTTATTGTGATTGAGTGATGTGTTTATGCCTTTATTGTGATTGAGTGATGTGTTTATGCCTTTATTGTGATTGAGTGATGTGTTTATGCCTTTATTGTGATTGAGTGATGTGTTTATGCCTTTATTGTGATTGAGAGTCAGGTTTATGCCTTTATTGTGATTGAGTGATGTGTTTATGCCTTTATTGTGATTGAGAGTCAGGTTTATGCCTTTATTGTGATTGAGTGATGTGTTTATGCCTTTATTGTGATTGAGTGATGTGTTTATGCCTTTATTGTGATTGAGTGATGTGTTTATGCCTTTATTGTGATTGAGTGATGTGTTTATGCCTTTATTGTGATTGAGTGATGTGTTTATGCCTTTATTGTGATTGAGAGTCAGGTTTATGCCTTTATTGTGATTGAGAGTGGTGTTTATGCCTTTATTGTGATTGAGTGATGTGTTTGACTTTATTGTGATTGAGTGATGTGTTTATGCCTTTATTGTGATTGAGTGTCAGGTTTATGCCTTTATTGTGATTGAGTGATGTGTTTATGCCTTTATTGTGATTGAGTGATGTGTTTATGCCTTTATTGTGATTGAGTGATGTGTTTATGCCTTTATTGTGATTGAGTGATGTGTTTATGCCTTTATTGTGATTGAGTGATGTGTTTATGCCTTTATTGTGATTGCCTTTAGTGATGTGTGCCTTTATTGTGTTTATGTTTTTTCCTTTATTGTGATTGAGTGTTGTGTTTATGCCTTTATTGTGATTGAGTGATGTGTTTATGCCTTTATTGTGATTGAGTGATGTGTTTATGCCTTTATTGTGATTGAGTGATGTGTTTATGCCTTTATTGTGATTGAGTGATGTGTTTATGCCTTTATTGTGATTGAGTGATGTGTTTATGCCTTTATTGTGATTGAGTGATGTGTTTATGCCTTTATTGTGATTGAGTGATGTGTTTATGCCTTTATTGTGATTGAGTGATGTGTTTATGCCTTTATTGTGATTGAGAGTTGTGTTTATGACTTTATTGTGATTGAGAGATGTTTATGCCTTTATTGTGATTGAGTGATGTGTTTATGCCTTTATTGTGATTGAGTGATGTGTTTATGCCTTTATTGTGATTGAGTGAATGTTTATGCCTTTATTGTGATTGAGTGATGTGTTTATGCCTTTATTGTGTGTTTATGCCTTTATTGTGATTGAGTGATGTGTTTATGCCTTTATTGTGATGTGTTTATGCCTTTATTGTGATTGAGTGATGTGTTTATGCCTTTATTGTGATTGAGTTATGTGTTTATGCCTTTATTGTGATTGAGTGATGTGTTTATGCCTTTATTGTGATTGAGTGATGTGTTTATGCCTTTATTGTGATTGAGTGATGTGTTTATGCCTTTATTGTGATTGAGAGTTGTGTTTATGCCTTTATTGTGATTGAGTGATGTGTTTATGCCTTTATTGTGATTGAGAGTCAGGTTTATGCCTTTATTGTGATTGAGTGAGGTTTATGACTTTATTGTGATTGAGAGTGTGTTTATGACTTTATTGTGATTGAGAGTCTGGTTTATGCCTTTATTGTGATTGAGTGATTGTGTTTATGCCTTTATTGTGATTGAGTGATGTGTTTATGCCTTTATTGTGATTGAGTGATGTGTTTATGCCTTTATTGTGATTGAGAGTAGTGTTTATGCCTTTATTGTGATTGAGTGATGTGTTTATGCCTTTATTGTGATTGAGTGATGTGTTTATGCCGTTATTGTGATTGAGTGATGTGTTTATGCCTTTATTGTGATTGAGTGTCAGGTTTTACCTTTATTGTGATTGAGTGATGTGTTTATGCCTTTATTGTGATTGAGTGATGTGTTTATGCCTTTATTGTGATTGAGAGTCGGCTTTATGCCTTTATTGTGATTGAGAGTCGGCTTTATGCCTTTATTGTGATTGAGTGATGTGTTTATGCCTTTATTGTGATTGAGAGTCGGCTTTATACCTTTATTGTGATTGAGTGATGTGTTTATGCCTTTATTGTGATTGAGTGATGTGTTTATGCCTTTATTGTGATTGAGAGTCGGCTTTATGCCTTTATTGTGATTGAGTGTTTATGCCTTTATTGTGATTGAGTGATGTGTTTATGCCTTTATTGTGATTGAGAGTCAGGTTTATGCCTTTATTGTGATTGAGTGATGTGTTTATGCCTTTATTGTGATTGAGAGTTGTGTTTATGCCTTTATTGTGATTAAGAGTGGTGTTTATGCCGTTATTGTGATTGAGAGTCGGGTTTATGCCTTTATTGTGATTGAGTGATGTGTTTATGCCTTTATTGTGATTGAGTGTTTATGCCTTTATTGTGATTGAGTGATGTGTTTATGCCTTTATTGTGATTGAGTGATGTGTTTATGCCTTTATTGTGATTGATTGTGATTGAGAGTGGTTTATGCCTTTATTGTGATTGAGTGTTTATGCCTTTATTGTGTGAGAGTTTGTTTATGCCTTTATTGTGATTGAGTGATGTGTTTATGCCTTTATTGTGATTGAGAGTCAGGTTTATGCCTTTATTGTGATTGATGTGTTTATGCCTTTATTGTGATTGAGAGTGTGTTTATGCCTTTATTGTGATTGAGTGATGTGTTTATGCCTTTATTGTGATTGAGTGATGTGTTTATGCCTTTATTGTGATTGAGAGTCATGTGTTTATGCCTTTATTGTGATTGTTTATGCCTTTATTGTGAGTGTGTTTATGCCTTTATTGTGATTGAGAGTTGTGTTTATGCCTTTATTGTGATTGAGTGATGTGTTTATGCCTTTATTGTGATTGAGAGTCAGGTTTATGCCTTTATTGTGATTGAGTGATGTGTTTATGCCTTTATTGTGATTGAGAGTTGTGTTTATGCCTTTATTGTGATTGAGTGATCTGTTTATGCCTTTATTGTGATTGATGTGTTTATGCCTTTATTGTGATTGAGATGTGTTTATGCCTTTATTGTGATTGAGAGTGTGTTTATGCCTTTATTGTGATTGAGTGATGTGTTTATGCCTTTATTGTGATTGAGAGTCAGGTTTATGCCTTTATTGTGATTGAGTGATGTGTTTATGCCTTTATTGTGATTGAGAGTCGTGTTTATGCCTTTATTGTGATTGAGTGATGTGTTTATGCCTTTATTGTGATTGAGAGTGATGTGTTTATGCCTTTATTGTGATTGAGTGATGTGTTTATGCCTTTATTGTGATTGAGTGTCAGGTTTATGCCTTTATTGTGATTGAGTGATGTGTTTATGCCTTTATTGTGATTGAGAGTTGTGTTTATGCCTTTATTGTGATTGAGAGTGGTGTTTATGCCTTTATTGTGATTGAGAGTTGTGTTTATGCCTTTATTGTGATTGAGTGATGTGTTTATGCCTTTATTGTGATTGAGAGTTGTGTTTATGCCTTTATTGTGATTGAGAGTCAGGTTTATGCCTTTATTGTGATTGAGTGATGTGTTTATGCCTTTATTGTGATTGAGAGTAGTGTTTATGCCTTTATTGTGATTGTGTTGTGTTTATGCCTTTATTGTGATTGAGTGTTTTGTTTATGCCTTTATTGTGATTGAGTGATTGAGAGTGTTTATGTTTATGATTGATTGATGTGTTATGCCTTTATTGTGATTGATTGTTTATGCCTTTATTGTGATTGAGTGATGTGTTTATGCCTTTATTGTGATTGAGAGTGATGTGTTTATGCCTTTATTGTGATTGAGTGATGTGTTTATGCCTTTATTGTGATTGAGTTTATGCCTTTATTGTGATTGAGAGTGATGTGTTTATGCCTTTATTGTGATTGAGTGATGTGTTTATGCCTTTATTGTGATTGAGTGTGTGTTTATGCCTTTATTGTGATGTGAGTGATGTGTTTATGCCTTTATTGTGATTGTTTATGCCTTTATTGTGATTGAGTGATGTCTTTATTCCTTTATTGTGATATAGAGTCAGCTTTATACCTGTATTGTGATTGAGTGATGTGTTTATGCCTTTATTGTGATTGAGTGATGTGTTTATGCCTTTATTGTGATTGAGAGATGTGTTTATGCCTTTATTGTGATTGAGTGATGTGTTTATGCCTTTATTGTGATTGAGTGATGTGTTTATGCCTTTATTGTGATTGAGTGATGTGTTTATGCCTTTATTGTGATTGAGTGATGTGTTTATGCCTTTATTGTGATTGAGAGTTGTGTTTATGCCTTTATTGTGATTGAGTGATGTGTTTATGCCTTTATTGTGATTGAGAGTTGTGTTTATGCCTTTATTGTGATTGAGAGTCAGGTTTATGCCTTTATTGTGATTGAGAGTCGGCTTTATGCCTTTATTGTGATTGAGTATTGTGATTGAGTGATGTGTTTATGCCTTTATTGTGATTGAGAGTTGTGTTTATGCCTTTATTGTGATTGAGTGATGTGATGCCTTTATTGTGATTGAGAGTGTGTTTATGCCTTTATTGTGATTGAGTGATGTGTTTATGCCTTTATTGTGATTGAGAGTCAGGTTTATACCTTTATTGTGATTGAGTGATCTGTTTATGCCTTTATTGTGATTGAGAGATGTGTTTATGCCTTTATTGTGATTATGTGTTTATGCCTTTATTGTGATTGAGATGTGTTTATGAGATGTGTTTATGCCTTTATTGTGATTGAGTGATGTGTTTATGCCTTTATTGTGATTGAGAGACGTGTTTATGCCTTTATTGTGATTGAGTGATGTGTTTATGCCTTTATTGTGATTGAGAGATGTGTTTATGCCTTTATTGTGATTGAGAGTGATGTGTTTATGCCTTTATTGTGATTGAGAGTGTGTTTATGCCTTTATTGTGATTGAGTGATGTGTTTATGCCTTTATTGTGATTGATGCCTTTAGTGATGTGTTTATGCCTTTATTGTGATTGAGTGATGTGTTTATGCCTTTATTGTGATTGAGAGTGATGTGTTTATGCCTTTATTGTGATTGAGAGTCATGTTTATGCCTTTATTGTGATTGAGTGATGTGTTTATGCCTTTATTGTGATTGAGTGATGTGTTTATGCCTTTATTGTGATTGAGTGATGTGTTTATGCCTTTATTGTGATTGAGAGTCGGGTTTATGCCGTTATTGTGATTGAGTGATGTGTTTATGCCTTTATTGTGATTGAGAGTTGTGTTTATGCCTTTATTGTGATTGAGAGTGGTGTTTATGCCTTTATTGTGATTGAGAGTCAGGTTTATGCCTTTATTGTGATTGAGTGATGTGTTTATGCCTTTATTGTGATTGAGAGTTGTGTTTATGCCTTTATTGTGATTGAGAGTCAGGTTTATGCCGTTATTGTGATTGAGAGATGTGTTTATGCCTTTATTGTGATTGAGAGTCAGGTTTATGCCTTTATTGTGATTGAGTGATGTGTTTATGCCTTTATTGTGATTGAGAGATGTGTTTATGCCTTTATTGAGATTGAGTGATGTGTTTATGCCTTTTTATTGTGATTGAGCCTTTATTGTGATGTGTTTATGCCTTTATTGTGATTGAGTGATGTGTTTATGCCTTTATTGTGATTGAGTGTCAGGTTTATGCCTTTATTGTGATTGAGTGATGTGTTTATGCCTTTATTGTGATTGAGTGTCAGGTTTATGGCTTTATTGTGATTGAATGATGTGTTTATGCCTTTATTGTGATTGAGTGATGTGTTTATGCCTTTATTGTGATTGAGTGATGTGTTTATGCCTTTATTGTGATTGAGTGATGTGTTTATGCCTTTATTGTGATTGAGAGTTGTGTTTATGCCTTTATTGTGATTGAGTGATGTGTTTATGCCTTTATTGTGATTGAGAGTTGTGTTTATGCCTTTATTGTGATTGAGAGTGGTGTTTATGCCTTTATAGTGATTGAGTGATCTGTTTATGCCTTTTTTGTGATTAAGAGTGGTGTTTATGCCTTTATTGTGATTGAGAGTTGTGTTTATGCCTTTATTGTGATTGAGAGTCGGGTTTATGCCTCAGTGTTTGTGGATATGTCAGATTTAATAATACTTATATCAAGATAAAGACACGAAATGAAAAATAAGCTGCTTCCCTAGTGTAAAAGTTTGTATAAACGGTTTGGTGAGGCTCATTTTTGAACCAACTTTTGCTTACTAGTTTAAAATTAATGATTTTTGCAAAAATGAAGAAAGGGCATTTTTGTGGGCAGGGGCTTAATTACAGATAAATATGATACATGTATGTGGATGCTGCAAATTGGTGGTCAGTTGCATTAGTTTTGGTATAAATTTTATATTGATAACCTCATAAGATAAAATAATAAAGGACACAATCCTAGAAACCATTTTCATTCTTTCTAATAATGTATCTTGAATACAAGTACATCACACATCCATCTGATGTTTTGGTTTTAAGACTTCCAGAAGGAGAGAAATAGTGTCTGCATTATTATGTAGGATAAAGATTTGCAGTTGAAAAATAAGTAGCTATGGTCTTAATATACTTTGGTTTATTGTATATTACAGAGGAAAGAAGTGCTGTAAGGACAGCCATTCTCAGCTCTAACAGTGCATTGAAACATCAAATTGAAGGTTCGGAAATTCACAAGAAACAGAAAGAGAAAACTTGAAAGCAGGCTTAGCTGTAGCAGTGTGTAAATGGATATCCAAAAGTACAGCTGCCACACACTGTCACATTCCTGGAATTCTCTCTCATTTCATTGCTTGATATATCAGTGGAGATATATGAAGGAATCAGTGTGACTCCTGAACTGATTTATCTTGTATCATGGATCAGATACCGAAGTTTAACTCTGATAATGGTGGATAAAGTGTTTAGAACATACACATGTTTTTGTGGAAACAACTTATAAGGTTCTTACAGCTTTTATCTGTTATGTTTATACTGACTGTTACAGTGCATAGGTGCTAATATCTTTTGATAGCATGAAAATTCATCTGAAAAGCAACCTCAAGTATGGTTTTTCAGCAACGAGACTTTCAATCCAGAACACAATCCCCAACGACTGTATTGAAAAAGGGATGGTCTGCTGTGTTGAACCAAGGATTCTGATTGTTGTCTGGACACAGAAAAGTGACATTACCATACCTGAATGCAGAAAGCAGTCATCCAGCAGGCTTAATTGAGGTGAACAAGGCACTATTCCAGCTTTGTTTTGCTTTTTTGCATCATGTTTGAAATATATTAGTCCAATGATAAGTTGTCAATTTTCATGTTGTTAGTTTTTATTTCCTTTACATATCATGTTAACATTTGATACAGAAAATGATTAAAACATTATATAAACCTGTATTGACCGATAATACTAAAGGATTAAAGCATTTATATGGATATATGAGTGTAAATATAAAACAATCTTTGTAAGGTAATTAATTGTGTATAAAAAGGTCTTGAATGGTTTTTTATTAAAAACAATTAACCATGGTTAAGAGTTCTTAAAATTCTTCAATCAAACTTTTTGTCGTGTGATTGTCATTATTCTAAAAATAACAATGATTAAGATCATGTTCCTCTCTTTGCTTGGTTTATTTCCCCATGAACAGCCAGGGTCATTTTGAGTCCAATCCCATTGTTATAGCTGGTGGCTACCTCACTGAACAACATCCTGGAGGCCTGTTGCAAGCCATACAGAGCAATTAGCTAGGGTAAAGATGTCCAAGGACACAACCATAACAACAGAGACTGGTCATTTCTCAGCTTCCTAAAACACAAACTACAGAGCATTTGACCATACATCTCTGATCCTTACTTCAGAATATGTAGACCAACACTCTGACTACTGAAACATAGCCACCACTGATCCTTTTCTATGACATATACCCGTGAAGGAATGCATCTTAAGACATCAATTTTCTAATCAATATGCAAAAATAACATTTTGTTTCAGTCTTTGAAATCATCCTCTAGTCTATAATGAATTCTTGTACTGGAAATGTTTGATTTTGATACAATTTTCAACATGTGTAAAGTTTTGATGATCTATAAATTTTTGCATCTCCAAGGTGCCAAAACATAAATGATTAATTAACGCTAAAAAAGAAATCTGAAAATATAATAGATTTATAAAATGTTGACATAGACAGCAGAATGAGATATTTTTATGAGACTGAATGGTTCAATCTTCAAACTTGATTAATTCTTCAATCTACGTTGTCCATCAACTGTTCAATTTACGTTGTCTATCAACTGTTCAATCTACGTTGTCCATCAACTGTTCAATCTACATTGTCCATCAACTGTTCAATCTACATCATCCATCAACTGTTCAATCTACATCATCCATCAACTGTTCAATCTACCTTGTCCATTAACTGTTCAATCTACGTCGTCCATCAACTGTTCAATCTACATTGTCCATCAACTGTTCAATCTACAAACTTCCAACCAACTGTTCAATCTACATTGTCCATCAACTGTTCAATCTACATTGTCCATCAACTGTTCAATGTACATTGTCCATCAACTGTTCAATCTACAAACTTCCAACAAACTGTTCAATCTATGTTGTCCATCAACTGTTCAATCTACGTCGTCCATCAACTGTTCAATCTATGTTGTCCATCAACTGTTCAATCTACATTGTCCATCAACTGTTCAATCTACAAACTTCCAACAAACTGTTCAATCTATGTTGTCCATCAACTGTTCAATCTACGTCGTCCATCAATTGTTCAATCTATGTTGTCCATCAACTGTTCAATCTACATTGTCCATCAGCTGTTCAATCTACATTGTCCATCAACTGTTCAATCTACATTGTCCATCAACTGTTCAATCTACATTGTCCATCAACTATTCAATCTACAAACTGTCAACCAACTGTTCAATCTACATTGTCCATCAACTGTTCCATCTATGTTGTCCATCAACTGTTCAATCTACATTGTCCATCAACTGTTCCATCTATGTTGTCCATCAACTATTCAATCTACAAACTGTCAACCAACTGTTCAATCTATGTTGTCGATCAACTGTTCAATCTACATTGTCCATCAACTGTTCAATCTACATCGTCCATCAACTGTTCAATCTACATCGTCCATCAACTGTTCAATCTACATCGTCCATCAACTGTTCAATCTACATCGTCCATCAACTGTTCAATCTACAAACTGTCAACCAACTGTTCAATCTACATTGTCCATCAACTGTTCATTCTACATTGTCAACCAACTGTTCAATCTACATTGTCCATCAACTGTTCAATCTACATTATCCATCAACTATTCAATCTACAAACTGTCAACCAACTGTTCAATCTACATTGTCCATCAACTATTCAATCTACATTGTCCATCAACTGTTCAATCTATGTTGTCCATCAACTGTTCAATCTACATTGTCCATCAACTGTTCAATCTACATCATCCATCAACTGTTCAATCTACATCGTCCATCAACTGTTCAATCTACATTGTCCATCAACTGTTCAATCTACAAACTTCCAACAAACTGTTCAATCTATGTTGTCCATCAACTGTTCAATCTACGTCGTCCATCAACTGTTCAATCTACGTTGTCCATCAACTGTTCAATCTACATTGTCCATCAGCTGTTCAATCTACATTGTCCATCAACTGTTCAATCTACATTGTCCATCAACTGTTCAATCTACATTGTCCATCAACTGTTCAATCTACATTGTCCATCAACTGTTCAATCTACATTATCCATCAACTATTCAATCTACAAACTGTCAACCAACTGTTCAATCTACATTGTCCATCAACTGTTCCATCTATGTTGTCCATCAACTGTTCAATCTACATTGTCCATCAACTGTTCCATCTATGTTGTCCATCAACTATTCAATCTACAAACTGTCAATGAACTGTTCAATCTATGTTGTCGATCAACTGTTCAATCTACATTGTCCATCAACTGTTCAATCTACATCGTCCATCAACTGTTCAATCTACATTGTCCATCAACTGTTCAATCTACATCGTCCATCAACTGTTCAATCTACATCGTCCATCAACTGTTCCATCTATGTTGTCCATCAACTGTTCAATCTACATTGTCCATCAACTGTTCCATCTATGTTGTCCATCAACTATTCAATCTACAAACTGTCAACGAACTGTTCAATCTATGTTGTCGATCAACTGTTCAATCTACATTGTCCATCAACTGTTCAATCTACATTGTCCATCAACTGTTCAATCTACATCGTCCATCAACTGTTCAATCTACATCGTCCATCAACTGTTCAATCTACAAACTGTCAACCAACTGTTCAATCTACATTGTCCATCAACTGTTCATTCTACATTGTCAACCAACTGTTCAATCTACATTGTCCATCAACTGTTTAATCTACAAACTTCCAACAAACTGTTCAATCTATGTTGTCCATCAACTATTCAATCTACATTGTCCATCAACTGTTCAATCTATGTTGTCCATCAACTGTTCAATCTACATTGTCCATCAACTGTTCAATCTACATCATCCATCAACTGTTCAATCTACATCGTCCATCAACTGTTCAATCTACATTGTCCATCAACTGTTCAATCTACAAACTTCCAACAAACTGTTCAATCTATGTTGTCCATCAACTGTTCAATCTACGTCGTCCATCAACTGTTCAATCTATGTTGTCCATCAACTGTTCAATCTACATTGTCCATCAGCTGTTCAATCTACATTGTCCATCAACTGTTCAATCTACATTGTCCATCAACTGTTCAATCTACATTGTCCATCAACTATTCAATCTACAAACTGTCAACCAACTGTTCAATCTACATTGTCCATCAACTGTTCCATCTATGTTGTCCATCAACTGTTCAATCTACATTGTCCATCAACTGTTCCATCTATGTTGTCCATCAATTATTCAATCTACATTGTCCATCAACTGTTCAATCTACATCGTCCATCAACTGTTCAATCTACATCATCCATCAACTGTTCAATCTACATCGTCCATCAACTGTTCAATCTACATCGTCCATCAACTGTTCAATCTACAAACTGTCAACCAACTGTTCAATCTACATTGTCCATCAACTGTTCATTCTACATTGTCAACCAACTGTTCAATCTACATTGTCCATCAACTGTTCAATCTACAAACTTCCAACAAACTGTTCCATCTATGTTGTCCATCAACTATTCAATCTACATTGTCCATCAACTGTTCAATCTATGTTGTCCATCAACTGTTCAATCTACATTGTCCATCAACTGTTCAATCTACATCATCCATCAACTGTTCAATCTACATCGTCCATCAACTGTTCAATCTACATCGTCCATCAACTATTCAATCTACAAACTGTCAACCAACTGTTCAATCTACATTGTCCATCAACTGTTCCATCTATGTTGTCCATCAACTGTTCCATCTATGTTGTCCATCAACTGTTCAATCTACATCGTCCATCAACTGTTCAATCTACAAACTGTCAACCAACTGTTCAATCTACATTGTCCATCAACTGTTCAATCTACATTGTCCATCAACTGTTCAATCTACATCGTCCATCAACTGTTCAATCTACAAACTGTCAACCAACTGTTCAATCTACATTGTCCATCAACTGTTCATTCTACATTGTCAACCAACTGTTCAATCTACATTGTCCATCAACTGTTCAATCTACATTGTCCATCAACTGTTCAATCTACATTGTCCATCAACTGTTCAATCTACATCGTCCATCAACTATTCAATCTACAAACTGTCAACCAACTGTTCAATCTACATTGTCCATCAACTGTTCCATCTATGTTGTTCATCAACTGTTCAATCTACATTGTCCATCAACTGTTCAATCTACATTGTCCATCAACTATTCAATCTACAAACTGTCAACCAACTGTTCAATCTACATTGTCCATCAACTGTTCCATCTATGTTGTCCATCAACTGTTCAATCTACATTGTCCATCAACTGTTCAATCTACAAACTGTCAACCAACTGTTCAATCTATGTTGTCTATCATATGTTCAATCTACAATTTATCACTTACACCATTCATCTAGGAACACCAAATCAACAGGTGTCAATCGTCACATATCCACTCTCTGTCGGACACAATGAGAACAATATTACTGATTTGCTACCATCTAAGTACAGACAATCTGATACACAGCTATTCATAAATGTTATACAGATGATATATGGATTGTCTCACCCTAAAATATAAAGCAAACCTAGAATCATATTAACTTACTACAGTTTAGAATATGGTAAAAAACTCTTTAACACAGGGCAAAATGGATGTATAAAACAAATAACAGGAGGCAATTGTTAACTCTAATTCAAAATTCATTCACCTGTATAGTTATTTGTTCTTAAAGCAGTTACTATTTAGGATCAGATCAAAAAATACCAAACACTTCAGGAGTCTTTAAGAGAAATACAGCTGAAACTGACCTTTAAACTATGATCAGCATATTTAAGCACTCATCCACTCCACAATGAACCTGAAGTCTTTTGGTTCTGTAAAGGAATTTGCATTGAATTTCTTTTAGATTCCACCCTTCTGAAATTGAACATTTGTTTTAGCAAATTTAAGGTCATTTCTTTAACTTTGTCAAATTTGATCCCTGCTAAGTACATGTCCATCCCAGCTACTTACTGCTGAAATATTACTGATCAAACAGGTTCACTATAAATCGACTTCAAACAGTGATTTTTATAGGAAAGATGACAATTGTTTCGACTTAGGTAATCTAAACTTGGAATCTAAATTTTGCACATACAACAAAGACGTACCATGCATGAGCTACAGAGCCTTAGTAATTCTGAATCACCAAAATAGCAAATGGTCTTCTGCTGCACAAAAAAGCAGTGAACAAGTCTGGAGTGGAATTGGTCGTACAGACTTCAAGTTAGAACAAGGAAACCAATGTTCTGTTATAGTGATATTGACGTTTCGACCTGAAAAGCAACTCCTCTATGGTATTAAAAGGAAGTACAATTAAATTTAAGTGGAAATGCATAAAAGAACTTGAAATATTGTCTCGATAGGAAATGGGATGGCCTGTCAATTAAAAGGAGGATGGTAAATGGCAGCAAATATTCAAGGACAGTGATTGATCTTAATGACATATCATATGACAAAGTACATCATAAACAACCAACAACAAAGTAACTAATTAAAAAAACAACCAAGGAAACTATGTACAACAGAGAGAAATGACTTCAAGTGTACAGATAGCTTGTAATTAATGGTACAAAGAATGATGACATGGCTAGGGGCAAGTCAACAAGTATTAACTGTTTCATTAAACAACTTGTACTGAATCCTATTCTGCTGAAAGAGGTACAAATATTATGCTTTATAGGTTAATTCCTTACTGATATTCATGGTGTATAAATCATTTATAACAAATGGATTCAGATAGTGCGTTACTGATACACAGTAGTAATAACTAGGAAAAATAACTGATGGAATGTACACATATCTATTGAAGTGTTTTTGACCATCTTTAATGTTAAAAGTACAGGCTGGTTCCACTTGATGGTTTTTCTATACAATAAAACATGACCTAAATTGATGATAACAATACAAAGTTATACATCAATAGATTACTACATGTAAATAATACTGTATACAACCTTAATATATTGACAAATAATGACGTAAGAAACATATTCAACATTCTACTACTGTCTTTTCTCTCTTTATGGTTCTTATGTTTGATCTCGCCAAATCATTTATATACTAAGCACAACATATACTGCATAAGCGTTTGTGTCTATAACATTGGAAATATTCAGCAGGTTTTAAAGCTCTATAGAAAACTATATACATTGAATATGTATCAGGTAAAAGCAAGGATACCAGTAAGAAATCAGAGATATTTGTAGTGTTTTCCTAGTTATTCATAACTACCCCCTCGTCAACTTGTACTGTATGGTCCCTGAGCATGCGTACTGAAAAAACTAGAGTGTGTCTACAATAAATGTCGGCCACGATTCAATCAGATATCTGGTGATGTTTTATAATCCGAGTGATCCGGTGGGAAAACTCAACAATAAGGAAAATATAATTCATACATGTAAAAGAATATTTCATTATTTATAAATATAAATTTTACTTTGATTGTTATGTACAGTTTACTTGAAAACTGAAATGCTTTAGTTAAATTGGCACATTTCTCAACAACAATCTATCTATATAGACAATACTTTACCAAAAATAATAATGTATTGTATACTGACAAAACTTAACTTACAACAATCATATTTGTATACTGTAAATGTGGAAATTTTAACTTGGGGGAAATTACACTAAATATATGAAAACCATCAACTGCGTAAATTTCGCTCTTGCCTATGAATTTGTCAGATATTTTCATACATGTTAAAACATACATTAAATTGCCACATGTACAGTTTGTTCAAATCCCCCGTCCTGTAAATAAAACCACATTTGCTGGTGACCAAACTGATTTTTAATGAAGCTTTAATTCATGTACATAAATCTGATTTGCTCATGTTGTCCTACAAATAATATGGGACAGTTAAGTAGTACCTATCACCAAATCATAATCAAGATTTTATCAAGCTTGTTCATGTCTCTTCTGTTCTCCAATAGAGTTAAAAGTACAAATACACTGTAAATGCCAATTTGTAAAAAACAATTTGAAGTTTTTACAATTATATAAAAATTTGGCAAATTCCTTGAAAAAGAAACAAGGGAGAGAACCAGTGGTTAGATGGAGCACACTCACAGTTCACGAAGACAACCAGGGTTTGTTGTAAAACAACTACAGTTCATATCAAGAAAGAGAATTAACATATAATTTGAAAAAGACACTGAACAATACAAGATTTAAACATTTCTACAATGCTGATGATATATACCATACAGCACTCTCATACGTAGTACCTAGTAGTGATACTATCACCCACATCTGTCACAAGTCAGTAGTGATACTATCACCCACATCTGTCACAAGTCAGTAGAGATGTTAACAAGCATCACCCACATCTGTCACAAGTCAGTAGTGATACTATCACCCACATCTGTCACAAGTCAGTAGAGATGTTAACAAGCATCACCCACATCTATCACAAGCCAGTAGAGATGTTAACAAGCATCAACCACATCTGTCACAAGTCAGTAGAGATGTTAACAAGCATCACCCACATCTTTCACAAGTCAGTAGAGATGTTAACAAGCATCACCCACATCTGTCACAAGTCAGTAGAGATGTTAACAAGCATCACCCACATCTGTCACAAGTCAGTAGAGATGTTAACAAGCATCACCCACATCTGTCACAAATCAGTAGAGATGTTAACAAGCATCACCCACATCTGTCACAAGTCAGTAGTGATACTATCACCCACATCTGTCACAAGTCAGTAGAGATGTTAACAAGCATCACCCACATCTGTCACAAGTCAGTAGAGATGTTAACAGGCATCCAGCTGTCACAAGTCAGTAGAGATGTTAACAAACGTCATTCATATATTGGTTTCCAATACCTTTCAGTGTCGTGTTTACTATAGAAAACTCATCCATAGAGCAATACATGAAAAAAATAATGGTTTGAAGACATCATCAACACTTGACATTCAGCACAACAGTTCAATGCTTGATAATTCCCAGCACACGTTATTCATCATCTGAGTCAATACAAAGATCCTGTAAAACCTTAGTGTTGTATCCATGGACCCAATGCTGACTTAACATTTCCAGTTACGTCCTCCATCAACGTCATCAGAAATGATCGTTCTTTGGTGAGCATACGTTGGCCAAACACTATGATGGACAATCCCAATACTACACAACCAATGTTGAGAGATGTTGTCAGCATCTGAAATCGTATAAAGAATGTAAAAATGTGTGTACATTCATTTCACAGAGTTGACCAATATTGTAATATGAGTTCATACACTATATTTGCATGTTCAATATGATACTATATATCATTACTATTGATACAAAATAGAACCTTGTTGTATGTAATGTACATAAATAGCTTTGATACTAACATTAAAAGCGATAGAGTAGATATATACAGTATTGAAATCCATCTATAATTCTAATCTAACATGTTGGGTGTTGTCAATGAAGCAAATAGTCTCTAAATACCTTCACTTATTCTCCGTGTACTTTTGCAGGAGTCTCTTCCTGTCTACATGTAAATCTTTCTTTTGTTCATATCTCATCCTAGTTTTATTGAAGTTCAGTTTGGATTATGATTATGTTGACATGTTGGTATTTTCATACGGTTTATTGACTGGTGGACAATTTTTACTTATGAACAACAAACTTCAACTTTAAACAATCACTTTTTTGATGGTCTATTATGTAAATAAACAACAATCTATAAGTGGTTTGACATCTCATATATGAAATATGTTTAGTCTTTTATTTCTATATCCTGCAGCAGGAAATTAGCAATACAGCAATTTACTGCTTTGAAACCAAGTTCAGTAGTTTCCACCTTTCATTCCGATTCAATCACTATATTTGTAAATTCATGGCAATGCCAAAATAAAAACTAACAAATGCAGCACATTTCAATCTCATTAATGTTGGCATGGAAATGGCAAGCACACAAAATGATGCCTAACTGAAAAGCTCTGTCATTTATATCAACTATAAATACAATACCATAACAGTTTAATGCTTAATAATCTAATAAAGCTCTATAACACTTGGTATCCTGAAAAAGTTGAGAACCACCTTAGGATGCTTATATGATCCTATGGGACATCAATTCTTACACCTGAATAGATTTCGAGGTTGTTACATGTATAATCTACTAATTTGATACTAGCCTTGTCCTGCCATTCCCGTCGCATAATACACTGATGGTACCGCGTTCTTGAAAAAGACACCTACAAAGTTAAAATTTCTGAGGTTAAACAGCAGATCAGACTTGTTACTTGAAACAATCAATCAAAGGTCAAATACTTTAAAATTACATCTAACACAGGTCAAATGATTCAATATCTAACTTCAGTAGAATCTAGTGTGGAACACCATACCATAGTATATAGAGGGATCCAGGTGTTGGGGAAAAGTCTGTAAAGAAAGTTATCCAGCTTCTTCCTCAGCAAAAACATCTTAGAGTTCACAGACTTCCTCATCTGGGAAATATATATGTCAATATTATTACAGGTCTCCCCATACAGATATATACATACAGATATATACACAGATATATACACAGATATATACATACAGATATATACACAGATATATACAGATATATACAGCTATATACATAAAGATACATTTATGATATACTGATAGACACAGCTTTTTAATTCTACTGGTGTAATTCATAATAACACTCACAATAATTACATTTATCTCACAGCATAGAACTACCAGGAGAATTTTAAGTATAAGAGTAAATGTTTCCATATTTTCTTGTCCTGAGATTCACAATAAATAAGCTTTACTAACATTAAAAACCTTTGATAATACTACACACCTCAACATAGTTGTACATGGCCAAATCATTGATAGCCTGTGCATCAGGTTTTCTGTACTCGGTATAGGCTTTCAAGGCAGCATCTAATAAAGGTAACAGATAGGCTTAGTCATAATTAAGTATTCATACTGCCAAACCCTACACATATAGAGCTATCTTTATCTGACCATCTGTATGTCTATGAAAATGGAGATGATCTCTTGATAATTTTACACAAATACTCCAGAGAAATGTAGACAGTAAAATATATCAATGGTTGTAAGGAAACATTTGCTTTATATGATGCTTTGTTACTTACGAGTGATCCCATTACACTTGTGTTTACTGTGTCTGTACATTATACAAACATTATCTAGGAAGAGTACAGAAAACATCGCTGACACCATCAGTATTACAATTGGCAGCCTACAATATCAACAACAGTATGGGGAAAAAAAATCTATAATATTCACAAGTGTTGAGAAAAAAAAATCTCTGACCTTATCATAAAAAATATAATTTGTGAGCCTTTTAATCAAAGTAACACAGATACAACCTATTTTATATATGTAAAACTTACCAAAATCATCATTATACTCATTAAGTTTGTCATTGAACACAATACAGTCTTCAAATCCCTGAAAATACAAGTATACAGATGTAACATATACAGGCACATAATGAAATGTTGAATATAATTTATCTCGGCAAATTGTTAGTTCTGCTTATCATGTATTTCATCTTCACTAATTCTCTAAACCTTGAAGTATTCCAACAACAAAGCAGAAGTACTTTGATATGACAACTTACAGAGCAGAAGTACTTGGATATGACAACTTACAGAGCAGGAGTCCTTGGATATGACAACTTACAGAGCAGAAGTACTTGGATATGACAACTTACAGAGCAGGAGTACTTGGATATGACAACTTACAGAGCAGGAGTACTTGGATATGACAACTTACAGAGCAGAAGTACTTGGATATGACAACTTACAGAGCAGGAGTCCTTGGATATGACAACTTACAGAACAGGAGTCCTTGGATATGACAACTTACAGAACAGGAGTCCTTGGATATGACAACTTACAGAACAGGAGTCCTTGGATATGACAACTTACAGAACAGAAGTCCTTGGATATGACAACTTACAGAACAGGAGTCCTTGGATATGACAACTTACAGAACAGGAGTCCTTGGATATGACAACTTACAGAACAGGAGTCCTTGGATATGACAACTAACAGATCCTCCCACGACAATATTGCTATGATTTAAAGTGTTGTTGCTTTGTTGATCACATTGATCAGTTTATTAGAGTTCACTCATAACAAAACTCATGAATATTGAATACACTTGCACTTTTGCTCATGGCAGAGTTGTAGGTTCCATGGGCATCATCTTGTAGACAAGACAAAAAGGCTAGTTTGATCCTTTGATGTACAAACAAATCTCAAAGTCAAATAATGTTATAGTTTAATGGCTTTCAAGTTGGGTATCACGCCTTTATAATCTTCAAAAGGGGCATATCAGCCTGTGATTGGACAGTTTTTTTTTCTCCTGGAGCCAATCAAATTATTTCACTGGTGTTTTCAATTTTGCCATGACATGTTCCAGGAGTGCAGAGAACAAAAGTGATTGTAACCCCTGGAGTATCAAGGATGGTTCAACGGGTGCAGAGAGTGAAAGTGATTCTAACCCCTGGAGTTAGCGAGGATGGATCCAGGGGTGCAGAGAGCGAAAATTAATGTAACCCCTGGAGTATTGAGAATGCTGAAAACCTGATCTTACCGCATTCATACCCTGTCCATAAAAGGGAACCATGGCATGGGCGGCATCACCCATGATGACTGTCTTACCCCCAACATGGTATGGTGAACACTGAAACAGAAATATGTCTGTAGACAATATAACAGTACATACTTATATGTGTAATCAATAATCAACATTTGTCAGACAAATGAACAGTGTGGAGTGTACTATCACTGATGTACGTAGTGTACAAGATGGTAAGGAACTGACCTTCATCAGACAAATGACCAAAGTCAAGCATACCAGTACTGATGAATGCAGTGTACAAGACGGCACAGAATCAATTGTTACTATCCTGTGTAGTCATTGAAACATACCACTCAAATCTATGTTTATCCCAGTGTAAAACAGTCTACAGATTAAAACACATATCTGGGAATGAGTGTAAAACGGTCTACAGATTAAGACACATATCTGGGAATGAGTGTAAAACATTCTACATATTAAGACACATATCTGGGAATGAGTGTAAAACAGTCTACAGATTAAGACACATATCTGGGAATGAGTGTAAAACATTCTACATATTAAGACACATATCTGGGAATGAGTGTAAAACAGTCTACAGATTAAGACACATATCTGGGAATGAGTGTAAAACATTCTACATATTAAGACACATATCTGGGAATGAGTGTAAAACAGTCTACAGATTAAGACACATATCTGGGAATGAGTGTAAAACAGTCTACAGATTAAAACACATATCTGGGAATGAGTGTAAAACAGTCTACAGATTAAAACACATATCTGGGAATGAGTGTAAAACAGTCTACATATTAAGACACATATCTGGGAATGAGTGTATAACATTCTACAGATTAAGACACATATCTGGGAATGAGTGTAAAACAGTCTACATATTAAGACACATATCTGGGAATGAGTGTAAAACAGTCTACAGATTAAAACACATATCTGGGAATGAGTGTAAAACAGTCTACATATTAAGACACATATCTGGGAATGAGTGTAAAACAGTCTACAGATTAAAACACATATCTGGGAATGAGTGTAAAACAGTCTACATATTAAGACACATATCTGGGAATGAGTGTATAACATTCTACAGATTAAGACACATATCTGGGAATGAGTGTAAAACAGTCTACATATTAAGACACATATCTGGGAATGAGTGTAAAACAGTCTACAGATTAAGACACATATCTGGGAATGAGTGTAAAACATTCTACATATTAAGACACATATCTGGGAATGAGTGTAAAACAGTCTACAGATTAAGACACATATCTGGGAATGAGTGTATAACATTCTACAGATTAAGACACATATCTGGGAATGAGTGTAAAACAGTCTACAGATTAAGACACATATCTGGGAATGAGTGTAAAACATTCTACATATTAAGACACATATCTGGGAATGAGTGTAAAACAGTCTACAGATTAAGACACATATCTGGGAATGAGTGTAAAACAGTCTACAGATTAAAACACATATCTGGGAATGAGTGTAAAACAGTCTACAGATTAAAACACATATCTGGGAATGAGTGTAAAACAGTCTACATATTAAGACACATATCTGGGAATGAGTGTATAACATTCTACAGATTAAGACACATATCTGGGAATGAGTGTAAAACAGTCTACATATTAAGACACATATCTGGGAATGAGTGTAAAACAGTCTACAGATTAAAACACATATCTGGGAATGAGTGTAAAACAGTCTACATATTAAGACACATATCTGGGAATGAGTGTAAAACAGTCTACAGATTAAAACACATATCTGGGAATGAGTGTAAAACAGTCTACATATTAAGACACATATCTGGGAATGAGTGTATAACATTCTACAGATTAAGACACATATCTGGGAATGAGTGTAAAACAGTCTACATATTAAGACACATATCTGGGAATGAGTGTAAAACAGTCTACAGATTAAGACACATATCTGGGAATGAGTGTAAAACATTCTACATATTAAGACACATATCTGGGAATGAGTGTAAAACAGTCTACAGATTAAGACACATATCTGGGAATGAGTCTGTATAACATTCTACAGATTAAGACACATATCTGGGAATGAGTGTAAAACAGTCTACATATTAAGACACATATCTGGGAATGAGTGTAAAACAGTCTACAGATTAAGACACATATCTGGGAATGAGTGTAAAACAGTCTACAGATTAAGACACATATCTGGGAATGAGTGTAAAACAGTCTACATATTAAGACACATATCTGGGAATGAGTGTAAAACAGTCTACATATTAAGACACATATCTGGGAATGAGTGTAAAACAGTCTACAGATTAAGACACATATCTGGGAATGAGTGTAAAACAGTCTACAGATTAAGACACATATCTGGGAATGAGTGTAAAACAGTCTGCATATTAAGACACATATCTGGGAATGAGTGTAAAACAGTCTACATATTAAGACACATATCTGGGAATGAGTGTAAAACAGTCTACATATTAAGACACATATGTAAATGGTACTTCCCATCAGTAAGTAACAGTCTCTTACTTTGATAGAAACCATGGGCAACGCCTTATTTTTCCTGAAGGTCTCTTTAATGGCTTCTCTGAAATATTGAAATATCAGCATATTTATCTCTTACATGAACTTAACATTAACAATCACGGTAACAACTTAATTTAATATCTGCTGTACTTAATAAAAAATGATTTTTCCATAATTTTCAACCTAAAAGTCATCAATGACTATTATTAAAATGTAAAGAGTTTGTCATATACTACATTCACTACTTAATTAACACCACAAATGTATGTTTTTATGATTGAAGTTCTCAGCACAATCAAGAAAGTTTCCTAAAAAGATGCTCAGTCACTTACACAATAACATGTGATACAGAAAATGACAGGGAAAGAAAACATGTAAACTGAAGAGTCATTTAAGATTGTGATATGTAGAGACTTAACTGACATCTACACACAGTAGTCAAATCTCTTATGTAAAATACTTGGATGTATCTTTGAACCTACTCTCCAATCAGAGGAATGGAATCTGGAAACTTCTCCCGAAAGAAACCCATAGCTTCCTCTCCAGAACTGATGCCGTTGAAGATATCAAAAGGCATGAAGAGTGTTGCTGTAAAGCTCTTGTCTTGGTTTGGCAGGGCAATCATCATAAACTCATTCCTCGGCCAAATGTGGAGATAGTTCATTCCCATATTAAACTATCATATACAACAAAAACAAACTTCATACACCTTTCTAATAGCAAGGAACATTGTTTCTAAACAACAACTCTTATAATTTCATATGTTTTTTATAAATGTAACACAAAAGTGAAAAATACTGAAGCACTTGATATATCCTTAAGCACATGTATAAGTGATGGATGTCTAGGTATCCAAATTTTTATAGAGTTATTTGTCAATGTAACAAAACACTTTAATTAACAAAAGGTCTACTGGTCTTAACGGTCACCTGATGATAAAGACCTATATATGAAGAGGACAAGAAGGCCTAAAATAAATTGCTCAACTACTATACAGCTAACATAGATTACACTGTTGGCTCATAAAAACATTTTTTGCAAACTCACATTCTTTATACATTCTACAACACAAATGCCATTACTCCAAAACTATTGCTTGTTGAAAAAGAAATTTTAAGATTTCAACTCACTAAACCCAAGAGATCTTGAATATAGGTCAATGTCAATTATTTGAACAAATCCATAGCCCTTCATCTACTTATATTAAAGAACCAATATCGACAGCCTGGACCTTTTTGTTATTGAGAAGAAGTCTTTGAAAGAAATTTCACATATTTAACCCTGTTGACCTTGAAAGTGGGTCAAAGTCATTAATTTTGAACAAACTTGGTAGCCCTACATTCAATAATGGAACAGGATCAATATCAGCACCCTTGGCCTTTTGGTTATTGGGAAAAGATTTGAACACATTTGACCCCTCTGACCTTGAAAATGGGTCAAGGTCATTCATTTTAACAAACTTAGTACCCCTTCATCCCAGCATGCCACAGGCCAATATCAGCACTATGGGATTTTGGTTAAAGAGAAGAAGTCATTTGAATAGAAAGTTTATGCACAGCAGATGGTGGACAGTGCACGACAATGGATAAAACACTATGGCTATATGATGTTTCTGTGATAACAAGAAATCCAAGAGGGATCTTGACACCCACCATGGTTTGATGTTTTTTCTGATTCATCCCAAAACCAAAAGGGCAAAACTAGGGAGCAAATGAAACCTGTATATGGTTTGAAAAACATTCACCCAGTAATGCTTCAATACTAGCAATAATTCAAGTCTAATATGAAATATTAGGCAGGTTTACACAGCATATAGAGAGGCCAGCCTGCCATCTTAATGACCATGCCCCATCGCTTTGTCATTACAGTCGGGGTCACCTCGGAGCTAACTAAACATTACCTCAAAGTCAGGGAGATATCAGCTCTCCATGTCTATCACCTTCCAACATACACACTACATTGAAAGGCAGTTTTATAGAATTTACTACACCTTACTGACATGTAAATATAAGGTCACAGTTCAACTGTGGACAAGGTCTGTTAGCTGCATGTTATGGTACCCAGACAGGACATGCCCCAGGGCAACCATCTAATTACATTTATCTCAACAAGCTATCTGGTGTTAGTTTAGCCTACAGCCCAGACCACTATTAAGAAATTACCCCCTCCTTTCACACTTCATTAAAGAATTTACTATCCAGATAAAGGGAATTTCTGGGATCCAATCAGAACAGCTGATTGTCTGACCTATTCACATTACTAACACCAGTAGTTAAGGGCCATTATGTTCTGACCACCAGATCTTAGAGACGTACCATCCTCCACCCCACTGCTGCCACCGATATCTCACCTCTGATAAGTTGCTTTTCATTTTCTCAGTTCTCCCTTGGTTGACCATGCCATGGTCAGTTGAATAGTTTCTTTCTCAGGCAATCTATCAATTTCATTCTACTGCATTCTGAAGATTTGGGACTATTGCAGTGGTAGTGTGTTATAGCATACCACATTTACTATTATGGCTACCAGTCTGCTGCTATATACCCCAAGTCGGTCAATTTCACACACACCTCAGAACCAAGAGTTAGCTGGAACGCAACATCTACTCTTATGGCTCAGGGTAAGTCATGATTCAAACCCAGGCCTAGTGGACTCAAGACTCTTTACTGTCCACTGTGGGACACACTGTTTGGGGGGGCCTGCTGCAGTAACCTGGTGGTAGTACTAACATATCACATGGCCTATTATTGCCTCCAGTATTCTTCTATACACCCCCAGACTGCCAATTTCACAATCCAGAACCGAAGGTTTGCCGGAGCACATCCATCTACTCTCATGGCCTTGACTAAGGTTTTTACCCAAATCTTGGCCTGGCGATGGACCTTTTTTTTTTTTGCTGTTCACTGTGGGTGCTTGGCTACACTTTATGGGCCTATGGCAGTAAACTGGTACCATATAATAACACATCACATGGACTATTAATTATATAATGTTGCCAGCTTACTGCTGTACCCCCCAAATCGGTCAATCCAACTACAGAACCTGGGGTAAGCTGGACTGTCTACATCAACTCAATACAGCCATAGATAAGACAATATGTTGAATCCTATTGCTTAATTGATGTAACTCCCAACCCTGGCCGACTCCTGGACATTCTTTGAGGACCAAGCTATGGTATCCATGAGCTTTTGGTCAGCCGTAGTTCCAAGTCATGTTCACCTCGAGTTGTTGGCCTTAGCTTTTCAGCACCTTGCTATACTTTAGCAGTACGAGGTCCATAGCTCACAGCTATGTCCTGTCAGGTCCAAGGGAGGTAACTGCTAAGGTGACAGGCACCCTTTATATATGCAAAACTTATAAATAAATTTCTGTAAATTGATATTACAGTATTTGTTGTGTAAACAATAACTGTGTACAGATAGATGATGGACAGATGGCAGAACGTGGTGGTAGAGTGATTTGAATCAATCACCATCATATAATTTGAAATCTTATAATTCTATCACTGAGCAAAACAGACAGATTTAAATAATGAGTTAATCTTAAAAGCAGGTATTTTTAAATCATGTTGTAAAAATTATTGATATTTTTTGTAAAATTAGTGTAATTTGTTATAAATTATTGATTCTTGTTGTAAAATTATTGATTCAAAATGTAAAATTATTGATATATGTTGTAAAATAAAATTATTGATTCATGTTGTAAAATTGTTGATTCAAAATGTAAAATTATTGATATATGTTGTAAAATAAAATTATTGATTCATGTTGTAAAATTGTTGATTCAAAATGTAAAATTATTGATATATGTTGTAAAATTATTGATATATGTTGTAAAATTATTGAATCATGTTGTAAAATTATTGAATCATGTTGTAAAATTATTGATTCATGTTGTAAAATTATTGAATCATGTTGTAAAATTATTAATATATTATTGATTCTCCATGTTTATATATTTGCACACATCTCTTAAGTACCTAACTTTATTAAAAAGTTTTCTACTGACATATAAAAAGGAACCTTTCAAAGTGAGCTCACCTGCCCGGAAGAGTTGGGAGGGATACAAAGCTCCATGTATCCATGCGGTATGTAAGTCTGCTCATAGTTGAGGAGAGTATCCTTCATCATTTGTTGTCGGACAGCTGAAAATGCGCCATCATTCCCAATGATCAGGTCAACACATAATTTCATTGTCTCCCCATCTTTACTGAAATAAAATGTTCAACTGCGATAAAACACTACAAATCATATTTAATCATAAAATATTTCTTTTCAGAAATCTCTGCTACCAATATATCTATGTTCAAGATGAGATATTTTTAAAGCAAGTTCACAACACAACAGAGTGCAATTTGATTCAAAAAGTACTTTAGTTTATATCCATGAAATACAAGATCCATGCAAGAATAACATATTTCAAAAGGGTTTAGGCCACAATTTTTCATAATGCCATATTTCAGTCTTAAAAATGTAACAATGAATGTAGTCAATAGTATCCTATCTATCTGAGCACACAGACTCCATCATCAACAGTATCCTATCTGTCTGGGCACACAGACTCCATAAAAACTGGCCCCGTTCCCTTTTGCTTAGTCCAGTGAATATGTATATTTTTAATGCAAAACGAGGTGCCATGCCTTGTGACATCAAAGTATTACTTTGGTAATAAGGATATTCAACTTTCCTGCTATGATACGACTACACATGTCACAACTTTATTCATTTCAACCAGAGACTCAAGTGGTGGGAGAAGGGATAACCAGATACTGGAGTGGTGGGAGAAGGGATAACCAGAAACTGGAGTGGTGGGAGAAGGGATAACCAGAGACTGAGGGAGAAGGGATAACCAGAGACAGGAGTGATGGGAGAAGGGATAACCAGAGACTGGAGTGGTGGGAGAAGGGATAACCAGAGACTGGAGTGGTGAGAGTAGGGATAACCAGAGACAGGAGTGATGGGAGAAGGGATAACCAGAGACTGGAGTGGTGGTAGAAGGGATAACCAGAGACTGGAGTGGTGGGAGAAAGGATAACCAGAGATTGGAGTGGTGGTAGAAGGGATAACCAGAGACTGGAGTGGTGGGAGAAGGGATAACTAGAGACTGGAGTGGTGGGAGAAGGGATAACTAGAGACTGGAGTGGTGGTAGAAGGGATAACCAGAGACTGGAGTGGTGGGAGAAAGGATAACCAGAGACTGGAGTGGTGGGAGAAGGGATAACCAGAGACTGGAGTAGTGGGAGAAGGGATAACCAGAGACTGGAGTGGTGGGAGAAGGGATAACCAGAGACTGGAGTGGTGGGAGAAGGGATAACCAGAGACTGGAGTGGTGGGAGAAGGGATAACTAGAGACTGGAGTGGTGGGAGAAGGGATAACCAGAGACTGGAGTGGTGGGAGAAGGGATAACCAGAGACTGGAGTGGTGGGAGAAGGGATAACCAGAGACTGGAGTGGTGGGAGAAGGGATAACCAGAGACTGGAGTGGTGGGAGAAGGGATAACCAGAGACTGGAGTGGTGGGAGAAGGGATAACCAGAGACTGGAGTGGTGGGAGAAGGGATAACCAGAGAATAAGTGGTGGTAAAAAAGGGATAAGCAGTGATATCTCTTTCCAGACAACCCCTCCAGACAGACCACAATGAAATGGAATGATAATCATTACTTGTGATACTATGAAGCTTTTGTGTATGTGATACCTACAGGTATTTAATGTTCAATTTCTGTTTGAAATCTGATGTTATCAGAAAGAAAACAAAACAGAATGTGTTTAGGGACCACTGTTTTGACATGTACAACAGCTTGCTTCACATGTGCACACACATCCACACTACATACATCTATACATATAAACCAGCCATTCCATCCTCCCTAGGAGATAATTTCGTTGTTGCAAATTATGTTTTAAAAATTCATTCTTGTACTCTGAAAAGTTTATGTACAAAAAATTGTGTATGCAAATACTATCCTAACATTTACGTACCATATATGGCCAGTCAAAGTGTGTGCATGTTATAGAAATTCACATTGAAAGAGTAAAGGATTCTCAACACGTGAAATCTTTCAAATCACTTAATTTAGAAGCTTTTACTGCTGAATTCATATTTTAATTAACTGGTCCTGGATATCTGCATAATCCTGGTGTATGTGTCACTGTCTACAATGTACAAATACATGGAAATGAATACATGATTCATATTTATGTGCATAAATACCTCTGTCACAAAATCATTTTATATCAACTCTGAATCTGACAAGCCGGAATTATTAAAAAATCTCTTGCATAAAGCCTGTAAAACCATATTCCATGTCATTTATAAACAGAAACAGCTGTTTTTAACATGTTCATGTATTCGCAGATGTATGAACATGTATAACTGAATATCCCAGACACACGTTTCTTTGGTAGGGATTTTTAACTAGGAAGATTTTATTTAAACAGTTTTTGTTTAATGGTATATAATGCTAAGTTAAAGTAGAATATTTCACTTTCAATCAAGGGTACTGCTAAAAACAGGATTATATGTGTCTTCCGTCTACACTACTATTTACATATTAGCCACAGTCGGTACCACGTCACTGGTCACCCCAACAAGTTTCCACTCCTGCATAACCAGTACTATTGACTGCCTAAAACAGGTAGTGGTATTTAGATTATGAGTAACAGAATCTTATGAAAACCAAAACTGTGGCCAAATCCATTTACATTTAATTCTACTGTGATATTTTGTAACTTCATGCAAAATTCCAAAATGAAATGAAACTGTTTGATTGTTGTATCTAACTGGTGACCTTGATGTAGAATATGAAAATGTTTGACTGTTGTATCTAACTGGTGACCTTGATGCAGAATATGAAAATGTTTGACTGTTGTATCTAACTGGTGACCTTGATGTAGAATATGAAAATGTTTGACTGTTGTATCTAACTGGTGACCTTGATGTAGAATATGAAAATGTTTGACTGTTGTATCTAACTGGTGACCTTGATGTAGAATATGAAAATGTTTGACTGTTGTATCTAACTGGTGACCTTGATGTAGAATATGAAAATGTTTGACTGTTGTATCTAACTGGTGACCTTGATGTAGAATATGAAAATGTTTGACTGTTGTATCTAACTGGTGACCTTGATGTAGAATATGAAAATGTTTGACTGTTGTATCAAACTGGTGACTTTGATAAAGAAGATGAAAATGTTTGACTGTTGTATCTAACTGGTGACCTTGATGTAGAATATGAAAATGTTTGACTGTTGTATCTAACTGGTGACTTTGATAAAGAAGATGAAAATGTATAGAGATATAAAACTAGTAGGGTAACCAGGTAATTAAATCAAAATCGAACAAGTCATGTATATAGATATAGTATACTACAGTGTATATATGTCATGTCAAACAATGTAAGGATATAGTATACTACAGTGTATATATGTCATGTCAAACAATGTAAGGATATAGTATACTACAGTGTATATATGTCATGTCAAACAATGTAAGGATATAGTATACTAGTGTATATATGTCATGTCAAACAATGTAAGGATATAGTATACTACAGTGTATATATGTCATGTCAAACAATGTAAGGATATAGTATACTACAGTGTATATATGTCATGTCAAACAATGTAAGGATATAGTATACTACAGTGTATATATGTCATGTCAAACGATGTAAGGATATAGTATACTACAGTGTATATATGTCATGTCAAACAATGTAAGGATATACTACAGTGTATATATGTCATGTCAAACAATGTAAGGATGTAGTATACTACAGTGTATATATGTCATGTCAAACAATGTAGATAGAATGAATTACACATATCAATAATTACCTTTTTAATTCCAGATTCCCGGTCTTTATATCACAGGAAATCAGTTTCTGACTGAAGTGCATTTTAACATTTGGGTATTCCTCAGCAGCTAAAAAGTGAATAGAAAACATGAAACACACAGATCTTTTTAGAAAAGGAAAAATATAGAACATTCTTAGCTAGGGGAACAAACAAAAATTGTGGAGACCATATTCATTAACCTGAGGTACCAGTACATAGTTAATACCTCACCAGTAAGTCCTTCTGTAAGCTGTTAAATATGTTCTATATGATATATATCAAATCATACACAAAGCAAATACAAGCACAGAACAGGTAGTATCTCTTGGAAATATTATCAATGACTTGAGCTTTTTCATATTCAGAAGTTATTCAGAAGTTCTAAACTACAACGAAAATCAAATTTCCATGGAAATAGAGATTGTCTCATGGGCCAAATACCTACAGGTGTTATTGTTAAATTCTTTACATATGTAATTGTGAACTTCACCAAATAGTTTACAAACTTAACTGATAAGACCAAGAAATATATCTTTTACCTGATAATAACACTTCATTGAGTTTTCGTCGGTCAACAGACATGATATACTGTAAAAAATAGGAAAGTCAAACTTAAGTAATTCGCAAGTCAAGAACTACATCTAAACTGTCACTCTTACTGTAAATCTATGACGACATTTGAACTGACTTTCTGATTGTAAATCTATGACGACATTTGAACTGACTTTCTGATTATAAATCTATGGCGACATTTGAATTGACTTTCTAATTGTAAATCTATGACAACATTTGAACTGACTTTCTGATTGTAAATCTATGACAACATTTGAATTGACTTTCTGATTATAAATCTATGGCAACATATGAGCTGACTTTCTGATTGTAAATCTATGACAACATTTGAATTGACTTTCTGATTGTAAATCTATGACAACATTTGAATTGACTTTCTGATTGTAAATCTATGGCGACATTTGAACTGACTTTCTGATTGTAAATCTATGACAACATTTGAATTGACTTTCTGATTGTAAATCTATGACGACATTTGAATTGACTTTCTGATTGTAAATCTATGACAACATTTGAATTGACTTTCTGATTATAAATCTATGACAACATTTGAACTGACTTTCTGATTGTAAATCTATGACGACATTTGAATTGACTTTCTGATTGTAAATCTATGACAACATTTGAATTGACTTTCTGATTGTAAATCTATGACGACATTTGAACTCACTCTCTTACTGTAAATCCATAATGATATTTGAACTCACTCTCTTACTGTAAATCTATGACAACGTTTGAAATGACTTTCTGATTATAAATCTATGGCGACATTTGAATTGACTTTCTGATTGTAAATCTATGACAACATTTGAACTCACTATCTTACTGTAAATCCATAATGATATTTGAACTCACTCTCTTACTGTAAATCTATGACAACGTTTGAAATGACTTTCTGATTATAAATCTATGGCGACATTTGAATTGACTTTCTGATTGTAAATCTATGACAACATTTGAACTCACTCTCTTACTGTAAATCCATAAGGATATTTGAACTCACTCTCTTACTGTAAATCTATGACAACGTTTGAAATGACTTTCTGATTATAAATCTATGACAACATTTGAACTGACTTTCTGATTATAAATCTATGGCGACATTTGAACTGACTTTCTGATTGTAAATCTATGGCGACATTTGAATTGACTTTCTGATTGTAAATCTATGGCGACATTTGAACTCACTCTCTTACTGTAAATCTATGACAACATTTGAACTGACTTTCTGATTGTAAATCTATGACAACATTTGAAGTGACTTTCTGATTGTAAATCTATGACAACATTTGAACTCACTCTCTTACTGTAAATCCATAATGATATTTGAACTCACTCTCTTACTGTAAATCTATGACAACGTTTGAAATGACTTTCTGATTGTAAATCTATGACGACATTTGAACTGACTTTCTGATTATAAATCTATGGCGACATTTGAATTGACTTTCTGATTGTAAATCTATGGCGACATTTGAATTGACTTTCTGATTATAAATCTATGACAACATTTGAAATGACTTTCTGATTATCAATCTATGGCGACATTTGAACTGACTTTCTGATTGTAAATCTATGGCGACATTTGAACTGACTTTCTGATTATAAATCTATGACGACATTTGAACTCACTCTCTTACTGTAAATCTATGACAACGTTTGAACTGACTTTCTGATTGTAAATCTATGACAACATTTGAAATGACTTTCTGATTATAAATCTATGGCGACATTTGAACTGACTTTCTGATTGTAAATCTATGACGACATTTGAACTGACTTTCTGATTATAAATCTATGACGACATTTGAACTGACTTTCTGATTATAAATTTATGGCGACATTTGAACTGACTTTCTGATTGTAAATCTATGACGACATTTGAACTGACTTTCTGATTATAAATCTATGACAACATTTGAACTGACTTTCTGATTGTAAATCTATGACGACATTTGAACTGACTTTCTGATTGTAAATCTATGACGACATTTGAAATGACTTTCTGATTATAAATCTATGACAACATTTGAACTGACTTTCTGATTGTAAATCTATGACGACATTTGAACTGACTTTCTGATTGTAAATCTATGGCGACATTTGAACTGACTTTCTGATTGTAAATCTATGGCGACATTTGAACTGACTTTCTAATTGTAAATCTATGACAACATTTGAAATGACTTTCTGATTATAAATCTATGGCAACATTTGAACTGACTTTCTGATTGTAAATCTATGGCGACATTTGAACTGACTTTCTGATTATAAATCTATGGCGACATTTGAACTGACTTTCTAATTGTAAATCTATGACAACATTTGAACTGACTTTCTGATTATAAATCTATGACAACATTTGAACTGACTTTCTGATTATAAATCTATGGCGACATTTGAATTGACTTTCTGATTGTAAATCTATGACGACATTTGAACTCACTCTCTTACTGTAAATCCATAATGATATTTGAACTCACTCTCTTACTGTAAATCTATGACAACATTTGAACTGACTTTCTGATTGTAAATCTATGACAACATTTGAACTGACTTTCTGATTGTAAATCTATGACAACATTTGAACTGACTTTCTGATTATAAATCTATGGCGACATTTGAACTGACTTTCTGATTGTCAATCTATGACGACATTTGAACTCACTCTCTTACTGTAAATCCATAATGATATTTGAACTCACTCTCTTACTGTAAATCTATGACAACATTTGAACTGACTTTCTGATTGTAAATCTATGGCGACATTTGAACTCACTCTCTTACTGTAAATCCATAATGATATTTGAACTCACTCTCTTACTGTAAATCTATGACAACATTTGAAATGACTTTCTGATTATAAATCTATGGCGACATTTGAACTGACTTTCTGATTGTAAATCTATGACAACATTTGAACTGACTTTCTTTCTGATTGTAAATCTATGACGACATTTGAACTCACTCTCTTACTGTAAATCCATAATGATATTTGAACTCACTCTCTTACTGTAAATCTATGACAACATTTGAAATGACTTTCTGATTATAAATCTATGGCGACATTTGAACTGACTTTCTGATTGTAAATCTATGACAACATTTGAACTGACTTTCTTTCTGATTGTAAATCTATGACGACATTTGAACTCACTCTCTTACTGTAAATCCATAATGATATTTGAACTCACTCTCTTACTGTAAATCTATGACAACATTTGAAATGACTTTCTGATTATAAATCTATGGCGACATTTGAACTGACTTTCTGATTGTAAATCTATGACAACATTTGAACTCACTATCTTACTGTAAATCCATAATGATATTTGAACTCACTCTCTTACTGTAAATCTATGACAACATTTGAACTGACTTTCTGATTGTAAATCTATGACGACATTTGAACTCACTCTCTTACTGTAAATCCATAATGATATTTGAACTCACTCTCTTACTGTAAATCTATGACAACATTTGAACTGACTTTCTGATTGTAAATCTATGACGACATTTGAACTCACTCTCTTACTGTAAATCTATGACAACATTTGAAATGACTTTCTGATTATAAATCTATGACAACATTTGAACTGACTTTCTGATTGTAAATCTATGACGACATTTGAACTCACTCTCTTACTGTAAATCCATAATGATATTTGAACTCACTCTCTTACTGTAAATCTATGACAACATTTGAACTGACTTTCTGATTGTAAATCTATGGCGACATTTGAATTGACTTTCTGATTGTAAATCTATGACAACATTTGAATTGACTTTCTGATTGTAAATCTATGACGACATTTGAATTGACTTTCTGATTGTAAATCTATGGCGACATTTGAACTGACTTTCTGATTGTAAATCTATGGCGACATTTGAACTGACTTTCTGATTGTAAATCTATGGCGACATTTGAACTGACTTTCTGATTGTAAATCTATGGCGACATTTGAACTGACTTTCTGATTGTAAATCTATGGCGACATTTGAACTGACTTTCTGATTGTAAATCTATGACGACATTTGAATTGACTTTCTGATTGTAAATCTATGGCGACATTTGAACTGACTTTCTGATTGTAAATCTATGGCGACATTTGAACTGACTTTCTGATTATAAATCTATGGCGACATTTGAACTGACTTTCTGATTGTAAATCTATGACAACATTTGAACTGACTTTCTGATTGTAAATCTATGGCGACATTTGAATTGACTTTCTGATTGTAAATCTATGACGACATTTGAACTCACTCTCTTACTGTAAATCCATAATGATATTTGAACTCACTCTCTTACTGTAAATCTATGACAACATTTGAACTGACTTTCTGATTGTAAATCTATGACGACATTTGAACTGACTTTCTGATTGTAAATCTATGGCGACATTTGAATTGACTTTCTGATTGTAAATCTATGACAACATTTGAACTCACTCTCTTACTGTAAATCTATGACAACATTTGAACTGACTTTCTGATTGTAAATCTATGACAACATTTGAACTGACTTTCTGATTATAAATCTATGGCGACATTTGAATTGACTTTCTGATTGTAAATCTATGGCGACATTTGAACTCACTCTCTTACTGTAAATCCATAAGGATATTTGAACTCACTCTCTTACTGTAAATCCATAAGGATATTTGAACTCACTCTCTTACTGTAAATCTATGACAACATTTGAACTGACTTTCTGATTATAAATCTATGGCGACATTTGAATTGACTTTCTGATTGTAAATCTATGACGACATTTGAACTCACTCTCTTACTGTAAATCCATAAGGATATTTGAACTCACTCTCTTACTGTAAATCTATGACAACGTTTGAAATGACTTTCTGATTATAAATCTATGGCGACATTTGAATTGACTTTCTGATTGTAAATCTATGACGACATTTGAACTGACTTTCTGATTGTAAATCTATGGCGACATTTGAACTCACTCTCTTACTGTAAATCCATAAGGATATTTGAACTCACTCTCTTAC